AATCCTACAGGCATGGAACTTACTTATGTTTTTCTGGGAGATATAGTAGGTACAAGGTTAAGTAAAAGCAAATTCAAGACTTTTTGAGGCTATAAAGAATGCTCAAAACTACGGGGGATCAGTTCAAGAGCTTATCAGAGGATCCATAGGCATGGACAATTTATACCATTTGAGTAAGCATGCAGGGCATTTAAAAAATTATTTATTTTCAATGAACAAAAATTTATTATTATCTTTCCCTCTTATATTCCAACTGCCCCCAGGTGAAGGAAAACCTTTGTAATAAATATTCATGGCAAATAAAACAAATTCTCATATTGTCCACATCAAAAAAAAAATTCATTCTGTACCCCCAGTCCATAACTTCTCTGTCAGGAGATGGGTACCCTGCTTTATCATTGGTCCTTTGAAATTGTGGCTGATCATTGCATTGATAGCAGTTCTTAAGTATTTCCATATTGTTTGCATTTACAAATTTTTTTAGGGGAGTATAAATTATTCTCCTGTTTCTACTTGTTACACTCCACATCAGTTCATACAGGTCTTCCCAGTTTCTCTGAAATCATCCCTCTCTTCTTTCTTACAGCACAATGACATTCCACTATTTTCATATATTTCATTTATTCTCTAATTGATAAGTATCTCCTTAGTTCCCAGTTCTTTGCCTTTAAAAAAGCCGTCATAAATATTTCTATATTTGTGGATCATTTTCTTCTTTCTTTGATCTCTTGGGTTATAGACTGAGTAGTGGCAGTGACAAATAGTTTTGATGATTGTTACTTTTTATAGTAGAAGATCTGATATTGCTAGACCCTTTCTTTCCAACTGTTTTTCATTATTATTCTTAAGATTCTTGGCTGTTTGTTCCTCCAGATAAATTTTTTTATTCTTTTTTGTTTTTCTTAATAGTATTTTATCTTCCCCCCAATTACATCTCAAGACAATTTTTGGCATGCATTTTTACGAGATTTTGAGTTCCAGATTTTTCTCCCTCCCTTCTTCTCTTCTGAAAATGACAGGCAATTTGATATAGGTTATACATGTGTTATCATGTATTTTCATATTAGTTGCAGTTGTGAAAGAAGAAACAGATTAAAAGGAAAAAAATCATGAAAAAGAATAAAGTAAGTGAAAAAAATATATAGCCTGCTCATTTTAGAAAAATTTATAACAACTGGCTGTGAACAGGTACATGAGGGCACGGTTCTTGGTTCTGGTTCCAGGCCAGAGAGGAGAACTAAGGAGGATCTGAGGCCAGAGGCATTATCCCCCATACCACAGGAGTAGGGGTGATTACAACAAGTTGTTACAATTTTTTTTTTAATGAGCAGGCAAAGGAGAAAGAACCTAATCATAGGAAGTTACTATGGGAATAGAGAAGACCAAGGTTCATCTTCAGAGGAGGATACTGAAGCAAAAAACAAAAGAAAAAGAAAAAGAAAAAAAACCTCTCCTACCCCAAGGAGTCTTCTAAATTTATAAAGAAATAAGAAGGCGAGGGAGTAGGATAAGGGTGGGTGGTATAGAAGGGTATCTAGATGAATGGGAATGGGATAAAGAGGAGACAACATATATATTTGGAAGCTATAAAAGTCTTATAAATTCAGATAGGAACAAGAGGGCAAAGGGAAAGGGTTGGGAGGAGAGGATAAGAAAGGGATCATTGGGGGCAGCTAGGTGGTACAGTGGATAGAGCTCCACCCTTGGAGTCAGGAGGACCTGAGTTCAAACTCTGCACTTGACACTTAGTAGCTGTGTGATCCTGGGCAAGTCACTTAACCCTGATTGCCTCGCTAAAAAGCAAAAAAAAAAAAAAATGGGGAATCTTTTAAGAGGGGATAGGCTAAGTAATAGCAGGGCAAAGTAGAGGGTAGAAGTAAAGTCATTGAGTCAGGAGAGATAGGAAATAAGAGATATACACAAACATAAAATAAAGATCAGAAGTATAATTCAGTAGGAAAGAAAGCAGTAGTAATCATGATCTCAGACAAAGTTAAACCTAAAATAAATTTCATCAAAAGAGGAAAATAGGGAAACTACACTATATGTCAGTCACAGCACTGTTTTAGACTATTCAAAATAACTAGACAGCATAAGGTTGGAATATTGCTATGGTGTAGGAAATGATGACTTGGTGGATTTAGAAAAATGTGGAAAGACTTGACTTATGAAGGAAGATGTTATCCACCTTCAGAGAAATAGAGCACAAATAAGTAGTCTAGAGGTAATAGAACTCTAGACCACGTGGCCAAGGGAGAATGGAGCCTAGATAGGATTAAGGGTGGGAAGTGGCTGGGTGCCATAGGGAACTAAGATAATGGAGGGCTAGGCTGGGTTAAGGGTAACAGAATTGAGAGATTGGGTGTAGCCACAATGAAAGGCCAGTTGATAGGATTATAGCCTCTGGAGAAAGCCAGAGATTTGGCCCTGAGGGGAAGTCCAGGGTTTTTCCTTTTTGGGGTCTGGATCCCAACCTCATCATTCCCCCCTTAAACAAATGGGACCCAAATTCTTTTGGGGTAAAGAGCAAAGGTCTTGACTTCTGAAACTGCTTTGTGCTGGCAAGGGGCGTAGAGCTGTCCCTGCCTCGAGGGGGTCCCAAAGAAGAGGTTAACTGGCACCAAGCACAGACTGCATCCGAGGAAGGATGGGGGAACATTGGTTGGTACCCACTGTTTGCTACCAACTGTAGGTGAATGGCCTACAGTCTGGAAGACACAAATCTGACAGAAAAGACTGCAGGGCCCAAATATAAAGCAGGGAGTAGATTTAGGGCCCAAATATGAGAGGATAAAACATTCTTAGCTCTGTTTGGATTCAGATAATTCAGTTTTCCAATCACGCTGTATCGAATCCACCTTATAGCCAGGCTCAGGAATAGCCAGGTGGGTAACATTCTTTTTCAAAGGAACATAATGGGAAAACTGAGCCAGGAGGATCCCATCTTAGACTGAAGCTAAAACTGTCTTCTCAGCTTTTCCCAATGCTGATTTCCCACCAGTATCACATGCTCCTGAGTAGCTTGTGGCATTTCTCTCAGATGGTGGATTATTGATTTATCAATAGATTGTTAAGATCCATCAGATAACTCAAAATAAAATTCTATGAGCTTTTACCTCACACTTTAGATTCAAAGATTTTATCTTGCCTTAGGAGTTAATAGGCCATATGAATCTCTGTTAGTCTGGAGACTTAACGTAGACAACAACAGTTTTCTGGGGGTTTTGAGTTAACTCATTAACTGTTCACTGTATGTGTGAAACTCAAGAATGTGATTATCCTTAAATAATAAATGAAGGATAAATGAAATGTCTTTATATTTGTTCATTATTAACTGTTAGGGAAACATTAGAAAACTAATAATATTCTAATTCTAAACTGTGATTAGTGAAACTTTGCTATTAGAGGTAACATCTTGTGAGACTGTAATTTAATATTACTTTTTAAAATTTTGATTTCAGGTATAATTGTCCGGATTGCCATTAAGCCAATAGTCCACCACTCAGGAGGAATGCCATATGCTTTCCAAAGGGAGTGCAGTCTGAGAACGACTACGGGTGGATGTCTGTGTCTAGAAAAGTTGAGGGGATGACCTTGTGTAGGTGAAGGTAGATTTCTCTTGACTCACTTTCCCCATCATGCTGTTTCCTTTCTGAACAGGAAAATTTCCCACTTGGTTAATTCTGAGCCTTGCTTTGATACCTTCTGAATGACGTGGAACTGTGCTGTGGGATTGTCTGTTAATTATGACTCTTTCCTACAATCATTCAGAGGCGAGGGAGTTTTTTTCCCCATTATGGCTTGTGTTAGATCAATCTGTGCCCTTGAGGGAATAATCTTGATATTGTCTTAGCCATGTCCATCCTTTTTCCTTTCATTGCAAAATTTTTATAATCAAATCAGGTGAACAGTAGAAGTTTGTCATTGCAAAACTAAATCTATTAATAAATTAGTACTAAAATTCCTGAGTTACTATAATAGTTGCGTGTATAATAGGACACAACCTTACTATTTTTAATCTGTATTTGTGGTCTGCTCCATATCCCATGTAATTAGGTAAATGAGTTTTTAGGCTTGCCACTGCCTTGCTTTCATCTCATCTCCCTTACCTCTAATTTCATTTCCCTATGATATGGCATTGGGGGAGAAGCTGAGACACATACCTTTTTAGAAACCTGAATCTATCTTGACAGTAAACTGTAATTGCAAACCCTCTCTGAGATAACACTAGCCCATCCTCTTTTGGAGACGTATACCTATCTGGATTGTTTTCCTCTTATTATGAAAAGTTGTCTTTAGAAGTTGTTCCCAGTTTGAATCCGATGTTGGTCCCTCATGGCCATTCCACCAATATGTTTCAGCCTTGGTGTTTTTTTCTATTCAATTCCTTTTAATTTTCTCTACCTTAGTTTTGCCTCTGTAATTGGGGCAAAGGTCTGAACAAAGATTTTCTTTCAACAGAGGAATGATAAGTAAAACCTTGTGCCGTGGCCAACACTATCATAATGAATTCTATGACCTCTTCAAAGAAAGGTGAGTGTGATTAAAATATTTTAATCCCCCAAATTACCAGGAAGCTCCTAGGAAAGTGGCAGGGACAGGATTTGAACCCACATTCTTTGAATCCAAATCTACTGCTTAGTCCTCTGTAGTGTATCGCATCCCCTAATTAATTCTGCCCCCAAGACTCTGAGATTACAGTCTGTCTCTTGCTTGATGAACTCATTTAGCACCAGGAGGGCTACTTAAAGTTATCCCAGGGCTGTGCAAAATCTGTGCAAAGTATTACCACAGGAAGTGCATAACTCATATTTTGACAGCACTTTATATAAGATCTAATTTGACATGAAGCTATAAAAGAATCAATGGAATTACTAAATTGGGTGCTTCTCGAGGATTCCTGACTGTATGTAAAGTAAATGGCGACCTCACTGGCCCCCTGGAGAGTAGAGACTATCTTTGTCTCCTCAACAGAGGAGAAAAATCACACCACACAAAGGTAGACTTTGTAAAATTTATTTTAAAAAAATAATTTATGCCCTTTGCAAAACAAAGGGTTTGGTCAGTATAAATGCTCTTTAACTAACATATTAAAAGATAATATAATATATAATATAATAAATCAACATCAGAGTTACACCAAAAAGGATTCCATGACAGGTCAGGGAATTCCTGCTCCTTTCACCAGAGTGGTATAATATCCAAAAGGTCCTTTCTGGCATAAAAGTTTACCCTCCACTTCAAGAAAATTCAATATACAAAAATATCAATGCAAAACAGATAAATTATAGTAATTATTTGCATTACAAAAGGAATCTTTATGTTATAAAAATGATTCCTCTCCTGGTTCCTTTAAAAAGTTAACTCCACAAATACATTGAAAATACAATTGCCAAAAATTTGATCCAAATCCAATTTTTTCCCCCAGTAACATCTGTTTAATGATGTGAGGTATACCTAGAGTCAGTGACGTGGTGACTGAATTCAGCTCTAGAACTGATTTGGGTATATAGGGTCCACAGTATGAGAAAGTATCAGGGGTTCTTTCAACCTTCTGTTTCCATCCTTCTTTCTCTTTAGATTGGAAGTTCCTTGAGAGCAAGAATTTTCTTTTGCCTCTTTTTGTATCCCCAAAGGTTAGCATAACGCCTGGTACATAGTAGTTGCTTAATAAGTGCTTATTTACTGACTCCTGATTGACTGATTTCTTTGCTCTTCTTTTTCTCACTTTTTGTATGGTGCTTTGTTTTTAAGCCAGAGATTATATTAACCAGGTTAGATCTTTACTGATGTGTTACACCGAGAAAAAGAGAAGGGAATCTAATGGTGGGGAGAGACTAAAAACTAGGGGAGTTAATCATGTTACTACAACTTTAGGAGAATCTATGGAGGCAGAGTGTGTTCAGTTGGGACTAGAAAGCACCAGCAGTTCTAAAGAGTTGAGGTGGAAGTGGGGTGCTTTGTGGCCGTGCTCCGAGTAGTAGGCATTCACCTCAGTGAGTAACAGAAGGGCACTGCCTAGCCTAGCCCCAGAAGGTATGCCCTGTGTGTGTGGGGGGGGAGGAAGATGGCCTATTTGTCACACTCTTCCTGGGCTCCTTCAACACTTTGATAGTGCTTCTCACAGAACTCTTGGATGCGACTGCAGGCCTCCAGCATCATCACTTTAGGGACTGTGATGACCACTCGGAAAAAATTGGGGTATTCAAAGCACTGCCAGAAAAAAGATGTATGTTAGTTAGCTTTGGAAAATCTGAACCTGGAACAAGACAAAGATAAGACCCCTAAGACAGTTCAACCCCTAGGTTACAAACAACATTGACGTAATTTTAGATGTTTTGGGATCCTTTGTTCTTGAAGAGGACCATGGCATCACGAAGATGATGCCATGACTTGCAAGTGAATTGGGTTTACGTGAGTCAGGGCTGTGGAAAGTCATCAGCCTCACTTTCTCCTCCAGAGCCATATACATCAGGATGGCTGGAGATGGCCCCTTTGGGGTAAGGAATCATTCAGCAGAGGGCCAAGTGGAAAGTTTGATGTTAATCTAAAGGAAGAAACATGGCTTCCTTTCAATCCTAAAGCAAAGACTCTCTAGTCAGTTAACAAGCATTTATTAAGCACTTACTGTGTTCGAGGTGCTATGCTAACTGTTGGGGATACAGATTAAGACCAAAAAATCATTGCCCTCAAGAAACTCACATCATAGTTAATAGATCAAAGTCAGACCCAGTCTTCAGGTCTGTGTAGGTTGAAGAGGAGTGAGGAATGGACCTTTGAGGTCCTGAGAGATGTACTTTTGAGTCCAACCAAATGACAAGGAGTTTAGGGAAGTCAGGAAGGTCCTGGGCCCATCAAGACCCTTCAGCAATATGAGATTATTCTGGGGTTTGGGGGTTTTTTTGGTGAGGCAATTTGGGTTAAGTGACTTGCCCAGAGTCACACAGTGAGTAAGTGTTATGTGTCCGAGGTCAAATTTGAACTCAGGTCCTGAATTCAGGGCCGGTGCTCTATCCACTGCGCCACCTAGCTGCCCCAATATGAGACTATTCTGACAGAGACAAGACAAGACACTCACTCACCTTTCCTGGAAGACAGAAGACAGATTGCTCTTCAATTAACCTCTCGCTGAATTCAACATCATTTTCAAATTCTGGGAAATGTTCCATCTCAATACCAACCTATATCCATAGCAGGAAGAAGGAGACACTAGTGAAAGATCTTTTCCAGTTATAAGGAGGAGTGAGGAGGGTTAGCACAGCCCTCAGAAAATGTCCAACTTAACCATCTTCTGACAAAACCCAACATTTTTTTTTTTGGTTAGGCAATGGGGTTAAGTGACTTGCCCAGGGTCACACAGCTAGTAAGTGTTATGTGTTTAAGGCTGGATTTGAACTCAGGTCCTCCTGAATCCAGGGCCAGTGCTCTATCCACTGTGCCACCTAGCTGCCCCAATAGCTAATATTTCTATAGCAGGTTAAGGTTTGCAAAGGGCTTTAGGAAGGTAATCCCTGTCCCAAAGCCCATTGGTATGGGACCTTCTCCTTATTGGTGGAGACGCATGCCCAACCCTGGGTGAAGGGTAAGGTAAGAGTTGGTGAGGAGAGCTTCAATTCTCAACCAATCCCTGTTTTGGGGACTTTTCAAACAGGAATTCCCCTTGGGGGACTCTTCAAATGCGAGTACTCCTTTAGGAATCTCCTCCCCTCACCCAGGGCAGGGCATTCATCTCCACCAATCAGTAGAGAGTCCCATACGAATGGGCTTTGGGATAGGAGTTACACAATTATGTTCTCATTTTATCTTCGCAATAACACTAGTTCTGTTATTATCTTTCCCATTTTGCGAATGAAGAAGGTTAAGTGACATATAAAAGTGACATATAAAAGACCTTAGGGGAGGAATCTTAACAGAAATCCTGAAGCTGTATCAAGGCATCATTAAGACTGATGCATTCTTTTAGGAATGGAAGGGTTAGTAGAAGAAGAGCAATTATAAAAGGTTATTATAAAAAGGGTTATTATAAAGGTATAAAGATCAAAAGTAGTCTTTGAACTTAATGAAGAGTTTAGTTCTACCTGTTAACCTGTTAACTGGTAGTTAACTACTGGAGATGAAATCACTTTAGCCACTGACATAAAAAAATGACTTTTTTTTCATCAAGTCTTGAATAAATCAAATTGCACTTAGGCATGCATAGAAAAGAAAAGGAGTCTCCTCTATGCGGACAGTTCTAGCCACTGATTAGTCTTCTCTCTACTAAGACAGAATTGAAGACGTTCAGAGAGGGAGTGTTTCTAATCTACCTGGCTCCCTCTCTGCCCCAGGATACGCCATAGATTGATCCAGTGGTTGGTGGAGATGAGCTTACCATGAGGTACATGGCCCCAGCAGGTAGGACAGGCTGGAGTCCAGGAATAGCAGCCAAGGCCCCATAACACAGGTCAGCATTTGACTGTAAGTGACAAGAAAGAGGCCAAAGATCACCGTTTCAGCAAAAGGAAAATCAAGCCATTCCAATGAGCACCATTTGGAGGGCCTAGTCCCTACATTTGCTTGCTTATGAAAGGAGTCAACAGGGCAAAGATCATGTCCATTCCACCCTTGTCTGGAATGAAAGGGATTGCCAAAGCCCAGAAAATTATTCACATTTCTGTGTCCATCCTGACCAAGCTGGATGAGGGAAAGGTAGGTGATCATACCCCAGAATCAGCCATTGTAATGACCCTCCCAGGATTAATTGTATTGACTGCTGGCAGGACTGCAGATGAGATGAGGCCATTCCCAGGGTTCTCTATGAGCTTTTCCTTGTGGATATCTCCCTTTCTCCAAAGAACATCGGGGCATCCCTTACCTTGAGAAAGCTTAGGGTATTGTGGTAGAATTCTTGAGGCGTTCTCATGATGCTTTTCAGTGCTCCCTGGACAATGGTACAGGGTCCCAGGATCTTCTGAGTCAGCTTCACCAGCCCATCTCGGATCTTAAACATTCCAGGAAGTACAGTCAGTACCTCCCAAATTACCCCCTATCTACGTAGCTCATGTGTTATGGAGGCCTTGCCTTTCCATTTTAAGGAAAGTACCCAGGACAGTCAAATCTTCATTCCTCTCCAGAGTCCATTCCTGACTCTCTAGAATTTACCACTATGCCCCTGCTCAGGTACCTCTGCCTTCCTCCCCCTTCCCCTATCTGCTTCCTTTTTTCTGTTGTCTTCCCCCATTAGAATGTAAGCTCCTTGAGGGCAAGGACTGTTTTTCTGCTTGTGCTTGGATTTCCAGCACTTAGCACAGTGACTGAAATATAGTAAGCACTTAATAGATGTTTTTTGACTTGACTTGATCCAAAAGTGGGAGTGCAATAAGATCTCTTCACTAACCCAAGCAAAGGGAAATTAAGTTTGGGGTAGGAAATGGAGATGACTGTTGCTTCTCTTTATTCAGTATCTTCCTCACACCTTAAGCCTGAGGTCACAGGGTCATAGGATCATGGATTACGAGTTAGTAAGTCACTTTTACAGAGGAAACTGAGGCCCAAAGAGGTTAACTAAGGTCACAGAGATTATAAGTGGTGAGATGGGGAATCCAACCAGGACCTCTGACTCCAAATCCAGCACACTGTCCATTGTACACATTCTTGTTACCAATGCTAAAAAAAACCAGTTCAAAAAACCCCAATTCTATCTCCCCATAGTTGTATGTGCAAGACAAAGAGATACATATATGTATTTGTGTGTTGGAAGAAGGGATGCAATTTCCACTGAAGAAGAGATTCTTCTGCCCTTACCTCATTACCAAAGATGTCTCTTCTGTCATGGATCAGAATCCAGCCCAGTCTCCAGCCTGGAACCAACCAACGCTTAGCCAGCCCCCCACAGGATAAAATGGGAACGTTGGTGCTGAGAGAGGCCAAGGGTTCATATTTACAGTCCGAAAACACCTGAAGAGTAAGAAAGTTCATGACATTTCTTGTCTGCTCTCCTATGGATCTCTATCCCCTTCTATAGACAGGATGCTACCTCAGATTTATGTTATCCTCTTGACCCTTCCATCCATATTCAAAGCCTAAGGAATGATTGGGAACTCAAGGAGATTGGGGACTGATATTGATTCCACATGGGCTTAGACTCTGGCTGCTTCAAGACGGCTGGCCTGGATGTATGGAAGGAGGTTTGTAAAGAAAGGAATATGACCCAAGCCCAATAATATAGAAAAGGTTCCATATTGAATCTGTGTGAGAGAAATGAATACTAGCAAGGCATGCTGTTGTGGTAGAAGACTCAGGAAATTTGTTGAAAGGAGTACTAAGATTAGAGAGTATGACATACAAGAAAATTGCTCAGGGGTGACTTTTGTTAAGGTGATGATTCCTTAGAGTAGGAAGCCAGAGAGAGTCTTTTGCTCAGTGCTCACCATATCTCCATAGATCTCATCAGCCAATATGGGAACACGTTGTCTTGCAGCCACTAAAGAAAGGAGAAACACGCTCAGGATCACTCCTTTGCCCTGGGGTCCCTCAGGATTCAAATAGTCAACAAGTCCTGCGTTATATTACATTTTTGCTATATTGTCTTGTTATTTTTCTCAAGTCATTGCATATATGTATGTATCATTTTCCCAAATGAAATTATAAACTCATTGACCTGTTGGAATATATCCTCTAGTCCTTTTTTTTTAATTGCCTCTAGTACAGACACTATTAACTTTTAAAAAATCAGTTAACTAAAGCCATTTAGGAGATAAGAAAGGAGGAATAAAATTCCCTCATCTTGCTCCTTCCTTCTGTGTGTGTATATATGTACAGATAGATGTGTGTATGTGTATATATGTATATGTACACACGTGTGTATGTGTGTGTGTGTGTGTGTGTGTGTGTGTGTGTGTGTGTGTGTGTGTGTGTGTGATTATCTTGCTAGGTCCATCACATTTCCCTCTACCAACTCCCCAACTCCATTTGCCTCTATCTCAGCCCTAGATGATAACCTTATTCCTTGCTTTTGAGCCCAGGCAGGAAGTCTTTTACTTTATTCCACATGCAGGGGAAACCTTTGACAGATCTCTAGTTGTCCTGAGCCCAGACTAAAGAATTCATCTTACCAGATAGGATTTCCTGGAGATGGCTTTTGCTGAACACTGAACCACAGGGGTTTGATGGGTTGTTGACAATAAGACACGCTGTCTTCTCATCAATCAATGATTCCAAATGCTTCAAATCAATTTCCCAAGACTTTTCTGGCTGGAGATGAAGGAAAGATTACAATAAGATCTGAGAATTCCTTGCAGGCTTGGCTGTTTTCATTTTGTCTTTGTATTCCTAGCATAATATCTTGCATACAGCAGATTCTTGATAAATACTTTTTGGAATGAACTTAATTGGAACTTTTGCATAACAATTACTTAATATAATATTTAACTTAAATGATAAAATATATTTATAGCTTTGGCTACCTACATCAGCACCTTTCACTTCTGAAAAGTGAGCAAACCTACTCATATCTGAGTCAATACTTCTGGAGATTATGAACACATGCATGCTTTGTGAAGGGACAGAGATGGTATAGTGGAGTTAGAAGGCCCAAGTTTGAATTCTAGATTTACTAGCTGTGTGGCCTATGTGAAGGAATTGGACAACATAATCTCTAAGGTCCCTTTCTTCCATAACATCCTGTGAAATCCTAGAAGTTCAGGGAGAGACACAATCAATCCACAAGCATTTATTAAGCACTTACTGTGGACCAGACCCTTTACAAGGAATGAGGATATAAAGCAATGAGGATCTAAAGAAAGGTAAAAGCAGATCCCTACCCTCGAGAATTCATGTTCTAATGAGGAAGAAATGTGCAAACAACTATAAACATACAAAATGTAAACAGTTCACACAACCCCATGTGAATGGGTGGGGGGTATCCCCAGAGGGAGGGCACTAAAGGAAACAACTGAACAATGAAAAGGATAAAAGGGGGAGAGGATGTTTGGGGATTAAAATCAGAAGGAAGGAAGAAAAACCCCAAGTAGCCTAAGGAGGCAGAACAAAATTCTAGAGGTCTTGAAAGAAAGTAAGCTCACCAAGAGTAGAGAAAAATTGATGTTAACTGCTAGACAATAATAGATCCCTGAATTCTTACACATCGCTGAAAACGTGGGGGCCCCGTGTGGCTGAGCTTAGGAATCAATCAAGAAATGCTTAGTAAGTGTATGGAGCTCTGAGTGCCTTATATAGAAAGCACTAATATGTAAGTCACAGGCAATTATGTATAAAATAGGCAATCGTATATAGGAAGGCAGAATGAGTTGGCTCTGTGGCAGGGTTCCTGTCTCCAATTCTATTCCCAAAATAAAGAAACCTTCCCAAAGTGTCATCTTGCCAAGGTTCCCCCAAAAGCTCACTCACCAATAAGTTATAAAATTTGACCTCAATCCCCATGGATTCAGCCAGAGTCTTATAGAGAGAGAAGCCGGGTCTGGGTATCAGGATGTTCTGTCCTGGGTTGACCAACACAGACAGGGCAAGCTCAATGGCTTGGCTACAGCCACTTGTCAGAATGACATCCTGCAGAGGACACAAGGGGTTAATTAAGATGGTGATCCCTGGAGAACAGCAATGTGAGAACAGACAGGAATTCAAGAGTTTAACAAAAAGGAGAGAGTTGGGAATAAGGAGAAAGAAGTTCATTCCTGAATTCTAGGCAATGATAGTCTAACTCAAATTTATATGGCATTTTAACATTTGAAAAGTACTTTCTAGGGGCAGCGAGGTGGTGCAGTGGATAGAGCACCGGCCCTGAAGTCAGGCGGACCTGAGTCCAAATGTGACCTCAGACCAAACACTTGACACTTACTAGCTGCGTGACCCTGGGCAAGTCACTTAACCCTAATTGACTAAAAATTAAAAAGTTTTTTTAAAAAAAGGAAAAGTACTTTCTTCACAGACAGCATCAAGGTAGGTATTATATCAATTTGTAGATGAGGAAATGGAACTTAAGAGAGCTTCAATCATCCACAGAGCTGGGATTCAAATACATGTCTTTGGCTCTAAATCTTTCTGTTATACCACATTGCCTCTTGTTAAAACAGTATTGACTATGCTGAGCTAAAACCAGAAAATTAATAGGTTTAATGCATATGCGTATACATATGATATAAATACATTATTATACATGTATATGTACACATATACACCGTATACATATGTATGTGTGTATATAACTTTATTAGAAAGTTGGTCATGCCTCCAAAATAGCCACCACTTAAAAACGCAACCCTGTTGGAGTTGGGAAAAACTCTTAGCTGATAACGTCCTTGGACTTTCTCACTGGCTTATTTGTTCCTGGCCAGGGATATGATATAGATGGCAGAGGGAGGCCTTCTCTCTTAGGAAATACCAATCAAAAACATCAGAGGATTGGTGGGGGGAGCAGTTAGCCCCAAGCTTGGCATCGTCATCAATTCAATATACAACTGCAGTTAAAAGATCTTAACCATTTAACTGCATCAAAACTCAGTTTTCCCTACCTTTGGCAATTGTTGAGACTATAGACAATTATAAACACTAATAACAACTATAATTCAAGATATCAAGGACCTGTAATTCATCAGTTTGGGAACTTCCTTCACCAAGATAGATCATAAACTCCCTATAAATAATTTATAATCTATAACTATAATCTTTGAGACTAAGGCTCTGGTGACTTGTCTGTAGTCAACCAGTCAGTGTCAGAAGCAGGATCTGAACCCAAGTCTAGCATAATTAACCATTAACCATGATGGTTAGACAATATCTTTTTATTTTAGTGGACTTGTTTTTTTTTCCAAAGTATTTTCACACATTCTCAAGCATTGGGAGGCTCCATCCATTAAAAGAGTCAAGGGGCAGCTAGGTGGTGCCCTGGATAGAGCACCGGCCCTGAAGTCAGGCGGACCTGAGTTCAAATCCAGCCTCAGACCAAACACTTAACACTTATTAGCTGTGTGACCCTGGGCAAGTCACTTAACCCCAATTGCCTAAAAAATAAAAAACAAACAAAAAGAGTCAAAACGGGATAATGGGAAGAGCACTAGATTTAGTCAAAAGGTCAGGGTTGAAACCCCGACTCTATCCCTTAGCAGCTCTATCCTGAGCAAATTACTTAGCCTCTCAGCCTCACTTTGCTCATTTGTAAAATGGAGATAAAGATTCTCAAAGGACCTTCCTTCTTTACTGAATTATGAAGAGTGTGCTTTGCAAACTTAAAGCCCTATAGAAATGCAAATTGATATTATCATTAATCTGATTAAAAAGAAATCCAGGGTAGCTCTGAGCTAGTTACAAGGCCCACACTAATTAGTCAGTAGGGTCCAACTCTTTTGTGACTCATTTGGGATTTTCTTGGCAAAGATATTGGATTGCCATTTCCTTCTCCAGCTCATTTGACAGATGAGGAAACTGAGGCAAATCAAGGTTAAATGACTTACCCAGGTTCACATAGTTGGTAAGTGTCTGAGGCCAGATTTGAACTCATAAAGATAAGTCTCCCTGACTCTAGGCCCAATGCTGTATACACTACACTAACCAGCTGCTTATGTCAGGAGGTACCAAAGGAGAATAAAATATATCCCGTAGCTGGCAGGGGGCCAGGACCAACAGTTATTTATTAAGAACCTTTGTAAATTTTGGTCCCTTAACCTTTCTATCTGATGACTAAACTCCTACCTCACACTGTATATTTTTCTATTTCGTAGTAGATATCCTGCAAGTGCCAAAAGAAAAAAAAATAAATTAAATGCAGCATTATCAATATGATCACCATTATCATGACTTGGAGCCAAGAAAACTTGAATTCAAATCCAGCCTAGCTGTATGATCCTGGACAAGTCACTTCATCTCAGCCTCAGTGCCCTCTTCTGTAAAATGGGGATAATAATAGCACCTACTTCCCAGGGTTGTTGTGACTATCTAATGAGATAACATACGTAGTCAGCCTTAAAGTGCTAGCTATCAAAATCCCTAGAGATGCTAAAGGACCAGGACAATTAGCCCTCTCTTCATCTATTTATTTACTCATTTATTTTTTAGGCAATTGGGGTTAAGTGACTTGCCCAGGGTCACACAGCTAGTAAGTATCAAGTGTTTGGTCTGAGGCTGGATTTGAACTCAGGTCCTCCTGACTTCAAGGCTGGTGCTCTACCCACTGTGCCACCTAGCTGCCCGTTCCCCCCCCCCCTTATTTCTGAAGCCATTTATTTGACTTTTGTGATCAGGAGCTAGAGATGGTGGGGTTTGCCCTAAATGAAATCTCCGAATAAGCTCCCAGCTTCATTTCTCTCCATGTGGTGGAAGTCTGCAAAGCTGCCTTCGGTTACCTTAGCCTCCAGGGGGGCCTCTGAACAGTGGTAATAGGAAGCGATTTCCTCCCGACTAGACAGATAGCCTGGGAATAAAAAGAGAGATCAATGAATAGAGTGATTTTCTTCCTGACCCTGCCAGCAACCTTGGGTATTAGAAAACAGACCTTGCTATGGACCCTGGGCAAATCACTTAAATTCTCTGTGCCTTAATCTCCTCATCTGTAAAGTGGGGATAATAATAGCCCAGAGCACATATTATATAATTTCATGCCTAAAGAAACCTGCTTAGATGCCAAACTACGTAACCTGAAGATGAGATTCCAATAAACAATTTTTTAAAAATGGATTTCTCTTAGGCGTCATTGTCTACTCCTTAGTACCATACCCTTTCTCGAAAGAGTATAACTAGAACTAGAACGGCAGCCACTGGGATTTGGCCTAGGTGCCAGCTTCTCCTAGGTGCTCTGGAATCTTCCATTACTGATGCTGTTGTTAACCTTCCCCTCATTCTAGATCTCTTCTTCAGCGCAGCAAAACCTGGTTTTCTGCTGAGTACACATCTTTCTGTATGTTCTTCAAGGATGGGTGTTCTTTCACAAACCTTGACACCCAGAGCCAAGGAGAGGAGTTGGCATACTGCTGATTCCTCAGTTTCCTTTTCAGACCTTCCCTAAGCTACCACCTCTATTTCAAGTGGCCCAGGTCCTTGTTGCCGTCATCAACGGTCCTCCAGTTATTCTCCCTCCTACCCAATAAAAATCATCCTTACGGGCTTCTGCACCTGAACTCCTACCTCCTTCCAACTCCCTGGCTCTCCTAGTTCTTCAGCCTCCCCAACTCCCAGGACTTCTTTCTCCAGCCAGTTCCAACCATTCACAGGAGTGGTTAAGGAGTCTTGACTCCCTTTCTCTTGTTCAAATGAATTCGCCCCAGGCAGCAGAACATCTAGTTATGGCTCTGGCTAGTACCACAATTAAATCTTAAGAATCTTAAAATGGGAGTGAGGGGCAGGGCAGCACTGGACCTGAGCTCAAATCCAGCCTCAGACATATAACACTTACTAACTGTGTGACCCTGGGCAAGTCACTTAACCCCCATTGCCCAACCAAAAAAAAAAGAAAAAAAAGAATCTTAAAACAAGAAGAAGTACAGGGAGGGCACAAAAGGAGTTATTTTCATGGGGTCAGCAAGTTCTATTCCCTAAGCCTAGGGTGGGTGCGGGAGAGAAGGGAAGGGAGGGAGGAAATTAGCAAAGGGTTAGTCCCAACCAGATAAAGAAACCTCAGAATCAGTAACAATATGACAATAAACTTATTTGAGAAATGTGACACAACAGTTGGTGGTTATGCTAAATGGGGTCTGAAAGAAGTATCAGGTGTTTCTCAAAGATGGGTCTAAGATATCAGTTTACCTTTATGATTTACAGTAAATTCCCCTAAGCAGGAGTTCTTAGACTGGGGATTTCCAAACTCGGTTTTTAAAAAATATTTTAAGAACTGTATTTCATAAAATTGGTTTCCTTTGTAATGCTATATTTTACTTCATGCATTTAGGAGCATTATTCTGAGGAAAGGCCCATAGACTTCACCAGCCTGCCAAAGGGGTCCGTGACACAAAGTTAAGAACTCCTTCCCGAGAACCTTCTCCCCAGATCCTTATGCTTATTTCATTTTAGCCTCTGAATACCAAGACAGAAACAGAGAGCAGAATAAAGTCTAGTAAGATTAAAAAGATGGAAAAAAGCATTGGGAAGCACTAAATTAAATAATATTAGCAAAGTAGAAGAAACTTACCAATTGATGGAGCATAACCATTATACTTTCCCGAATCTAAAGCATCCTTCATGGCCTGAGTAACTTCAGAATCAGTAGGGAGGTTGCCAAAAACAGTCGGATCTCCTTTTTAAAGGAAGAAGGAAAGGAACCGTAATAAGATTAATAATACTGCAGAACCAGTGAACAAGACAGGAACACTCCTCTCCTTCTAGGTCCCTCCATCCACCAAGAGATCTGAACTTTCATCTCCATTTTTATTCATTTTTATCCCTGATAGCCAATGAAATAAACTTAGTGAATGGGAAGTTGAGTTCCCTTTCTTTTGTAAATGATGGTCTAGTGGTACTCACCTATTGATAAAGAGATCATGGTTTTATTAGCATTCGGCTGCACTTTCATGCTATCTACGATGGCTCTGATGGGATTGAAAGTTTTTTTGGACATATCAGAGGCTCTCACTGCCCATCTAGCCTTCCTGCCTTTCATTTTTCCTAAGACTGTATTTCTTCCATTGATGTTTCCGTGGACACCCAGGACAGAGGAAGGATCACGATTGCCATTCATCTGGATCACATAAGAGTCCATTGCTAAATATGCATAGAGAGAGAAAAAAAAATCCCATGAATATTAAAATATAGGAAAGTCACTCTATTTAGCATTTGTACACCAACATGAAGTCAATTTCATGATGGCTTCAGGCCTTTTTTCTGAGTTCATTACTTCGTCCTCAACCTACTTTTGATTCTCATTGAAGACAGCTTCCACATGAATGAGAAAGTTCTAAGACATCTCAAGTGGGAAGGAGACCCAAGGTATTTTTAAAAAAGTATTTTGAAAGGCATGTTACCAATGACAAGAAATATTCAGAGATGAGTGCCTGGTGTCAGCAAACCAGCCTCACTTGGGGTCAAAACATCCTGCACTGTTAGAGGGAAGATACTCCTTTCATCATTCACCAAAGTGGTAGGAAAATTTCACCCCCAAACTTCTGCTTGTAGTTGACTTCCTGTTGAACTGAAACTAAGATAAATAATTACATGACTTCAGGTTCCCAATATATGCTCCATCCCTTGAATGGACTGGCAAACCAAGGGAGATTCTCCCTAAAGCATGATAGACTGGTTCCTGTCACTTGTATATACCAGTCAACAATGTGCTATAAGAATATTAAGAGCCAGATATTAAAAGTTATTAAGAATTTGATATTTCCTGCTGTGGAAAAAGAAACAATATAAAAGTGACTGAAGTAGCATCCCCTGAATTGCAAACAATACCCCAAACTGGGATTTTACCTTTTAAGAAATGGAACTGAAGCCCTAAATTGATGGAATGGATCTGAAAGTTTGCTTCTTTCTCTCTTGTCAAGTTGCAGTGATAAAACCAGAAGCAAATCCCAGCTGCTGAAATAGTCCCTACGAATGGGTGGTGGCCTTGAAAACCTTTCACAATTGGTTGAGGGTGAGTTTTCTGTAATACTCCTCCTCCAGTTCCCTGTCAAGGATTTGTTCTCACTTCAAACAACTGGAATCTTCTAAGTTAACTCTTTATAGGACATGGATGGGGTGAGAGGGGCACAAGGATTGTTAAGGGTTGCTAAGTTTTTCCTTGGGTACTTATTGAACAACTAAGACAGGGTGGGACTTAAGGTAAGCCCTTTCTACTCTACTGCCCAAACATCCCTGAGAGACAGATATCTTAAAGAGAAGTCTTTTCTTCTCAATCCAATACTCAAATTATTCTCATTCTTGAGCAACTGCTATATTGGTTGTTGAACTGAGATGTCTGGTATGACCTAGAGAAATCTTCATAAGGTTCATTTACCAGAGAGCTGAAGTTTCTTCCAAGCACCTAAAAAATGACCACTTATTTAAGGGTTAAAAGGAAAGGCTGGCTCTTCCCCTGGCAGAGCTCCCATCTTTCTGTTTATTTTTTGAGAGCTACAGCAATGTGTTTGTCTGTTGAACTTCACTTAAACGAGTTACTGTTATCTAACTCACAAAATGCTGAAGAAGAGTTGGAAGACTCTTGTTGATTTCCTATCCCCCGCTCTGAGAGCCATATACTGTATAGATTGGGTTCCATTCTTTTCTGGTGCCTCCCTTCCCCCAAATGCAAAATGCATTGGAAAATACTTAACTTAAAGGAGGAAGAAAACGAATTATTTCAAATTCTGGAAGGTGCTTAGATCAAGGTGGTTCTTCACCTGGGATCTGTGAACTTGGTTTTAGGGTTTTTTTTTTTATAACTATTTAAATATCATTGGTCTCCTTTCTGATCCTATGTATTTAGTTTTATTCATTTAAAAACGTGATTCTGAGAATGGATCTCCAAAGGATTCACCAGATTATTCAAAGGAACTAGGACACACACAAAAAGGTTAAGAATCCCTGGCTTGGAGAGAAAATACTCAGATAAGTAAAAAGTCTCCAGCCTCAAGAAGCCCTAGCCTGTAATAAATAGTTACTTAGGTGGGATAAGATAGTTGTCTTGAACTATTTGAGAGACCATTACATGGAAGAGGGATTAAACTTGTTCTATTTGGTGCCTGAGGGCAGAACGAGAAGCCCTGAGCAGAGGTTGCAAAGAGGCAAATGTTAGGCTTCATGAAAAGAAAAGCTTCCTAACAATTCTAGTGACCCCAGAGGGGGATGGACTGCCTCAAGAATTAGTGGGGTCCTTCTCTGTGATTCTGGTTCATTCAAATATCATTCAAGAAGAAAGCATAAGTGTCCCAGCTTCTCCCAAAGTGTTTCAAACGTTAGCCAACCATGCCACCCTTTAAAATAGGCAAATTCATAACTGTGAGACCAAAGCAATTGACTGAAAAAGGAAAAAAACTGAAACTGAATTGGTCTTCAGGTAGATAGAAGTCAAAATATTTATTTGGGTGAATCTAAAGTTGCTGGTTGTTTGGTGTTGATGAGGTTGGGATTGTTAACCTGAAAGTTTGGTTAAAGAAGGCAAACAAGTTAGGTGATACATGATTATATAGTTTATTCCCCTTTAGCTAGCGAATCATGTTAACGTGGAAGCCAGAATGTGATTATGACTTGGAGATTAAGCAAAATGGGAAAGGTTTTATACAGTTTAGAGTGATCAGACTCAGGATGTCTGTGTTACAAAAAATACAGCCTCCATATGTTTGTTTAACATATAGCATGGGAAAGGAATTTTCTTAATTGAATAAGGTTGTAAATACAATAAAACAGAAGAATGTCAAAGTGTCAGTAGAAACTCAAGATAAGAAAAGTCCTGCTATTCAAGAGAGTATCTGGTCCCAGACATCCTGGGCCTAGTTGATCAGTTCTATCTGTTCCTGGAATTTGCTGACACAGGAAGGGGTGTTTTTAGTTCACTCAGAGAGAAAAAGATTAATTCAGGTTTTTTGGCCCTTACTGGGGCTCAATTGATCTTAAATGATTATCAGGATCTAGACCCCAAACAGGAAAAATCCTGGACTTTCCCAATGGCCAAATCTCTGGCTTTCCCCCTAGCCACTACTCAGATTCTTATAATCTAGCCAATAGCTTACTAATGTTCAGACTCCTTAAGAGTCTGCCCAATATGACGGATGTTCTGATAAACTTTGTCTTTGGCTGAAAGAAGGCTTGGGTAGAATTCTTTTGGACAGGACCTGCATGTTGTGATTTTGGGGTCCCAGCACCCCAGCACCCCTAAACCTCAACAGCTGGGAAGATTAATGGGATCATTCTGCATAGAATAATTGCAAAGTAATAGAATAAATGCAGACAGGTCATTGCCCTCCAGTTTTCTCCAGTACAACCTAATGGCCCCACTTGGGTTTACAGAGATCAAAGAGCAAACACTCTCACCACAGGATTTTGGCCATATGTCTTGTAAACAGTGGGGGTGACTTAGGACTGGCAGTGATGTGGATGGGGGCAGTGGCCACTGTATCAGAGGGGTCATCACACCTGATTCTCACTAATTTCTGTTCCAACTAAGGATAAGAAAGAAAAATGGATAATACAAACAGGCCTGTGCTAGCATTCCCTTTCTCTTATCTGTCCCTAACAAAGAGAAAGTGATGTTAATCCTTCCGTTCTTGAATGTCCAAGCCAAGTAAACCTTAGTTAACCATCCAGGAGTCCTCATGAAAGTGGCCAGCTATCATAAATGTCTCTTTAATCAGCCTATCCCATCTGCTTCTAGGGCTAACACACATCCCAGAATTTCTGCAACAGTACCACGAGTGCCTTTCCTCAAGACTGCGTCCTGTTTACACTGTCTATAGCTAGTACATATGTAGTTGTTTGCCTGTCTCTACCATTAGACTGTAAGTTCCCTGAGGATAAAGAAGTGGTTTTGGGGGGTTTTTTTAGCCTCTCTTTGTATTCTCATTGCTGACTCTGTGCTTGGCACATTGATTCATAAGTCCTTGTTGACTGGCTGATAAATATTCTTTCCTGTTTTTCCTGTGAAATGTATCAGAAATTTCAGAATCTCAGAAAGTGGACATTGAATGAATCAAGTCAATAACAATAAAAATGTATGTCATAACAAATTGAGAGCCACAAAAATGAAGAATCATAAAGACTGAAGAAATTTCAGATTCCTTATGAAAATGTACCTCTATAGCCTGTGTGGTATAACCTGTATGAACTTGGGCATGTCACTTAAACTGTATTTGCCTCAGTTTCCTCAACAGTAAGATGGTGATAATAATAGCCTATACCTCCTAGGATTATTGTGAAGATCAGATGAGATAATAGTTGTAAAGCACTTAGCACGATGCCTGGCACATATTGGTACATATATATGCTAGCCATCATCATCATTATTAATGTCTGTGGTGTTATAGTAATAATAGCAACTGAATAATGCTTTAAAGTTTGCAAAACACTTTACGAATGTTAACTCATTTGATCCTCGCAACATCCCTGAGAGATAGATGCTGTTATTCTGCCAATTTTACAGATGAGGAAACTGAGGCAGACAGAGGCAAAATGATTTGCCCAGGTTGTATAGCTAATAAAATAATTCAGAGGGGCAGCTAGGTGGATACAGCACCAGCCCTGGAGTCAGGAGGACCTGAGTTCAAATCTGGCCTCAGACACATAACACTTACTAGCTGTGTGACTCTGGGCAAGTCACTTAACCCCAATTGCCTCACCCCCCAAAAAAAAATAAAGAAGAAGAAGAATTCAGATCCTCCTTTCTCCAGGTCCGGCACTCTGTCCATTGAACTGTTTAACTGCCTCATACATAGTATATAATACAGTACGCGTACATTCTTGTGGGTAAATCCTGCCACAGATTGCTCATCTACTTCTTTCCTCAAGACAGCCATTCCACCAGACAGAAAAAGCAATATGGTATAATAGTTAAAGAGCTAGAGGCAGAAAGGCTTTGGTTCACTTCCTGCCTTAAGACACTGACTGACTATGTAACTCTGGGCAAATCTCCTCCTCTCTCTGGATCTTGGAGTCCTTATCCATAAAATGAGAGGTCTGGATTTGATGATCTGTAAGCTCTAACTGGTGGTTCTAAATCAGTGTTCTTCTGGGCTTAGGCAAGCAGGTCAAACTCAGCCAAGACAGACCTTATACCATATATATGAGAGATTATATATATACACATACACACATACTATGCTACACAATATACGTATATATGAGACCTTATACTATCTATTATACATATTTTACAGTTTGCATTAAGATTCCCTCCTCCCTGAGCCCTTAAGCAAACTTCGTTTTAGCTTTTGAACACTGGGCTCTGCAGCACAAGCAAAAAATAGTGAGTTCAAAGTTAGAATGAAGCCAGCTCATTGCAGCTTGGGAGATTCTTTCTGTCTTGTAGGGACCCATCTCAAGCAGTGAAAGAATGAGAGAGACATTGGGACATAATAGAAAAGTCACTGGATTTGTAGTCTTTGCTCCTTACCCATAACAGACCAGCTCTCATCTCTGTGCATTTGTACTGGCTATCTCCCATGCCTGGAATGCACTTATCCTTCACTTTTTAGAAACTCTTGTTTCCATCAAAACTCAGCTCAGGCTCCCCCCTTCTCCATAAAGCCTTTCCTTACCTCCCCTACTGCTACTGCCTCCCCTCATTAACTGGTAGTGATTTTGTTTATGCTTTGTATGCGTGTGTATAGGTACCTGTCCTCTCTCCAGATAATCAAAGGGTCTTGAAGGCAGCTATTATTTTATGTCGTTTATCTTTAGCACCTGGTACAGTGCCTAGCAAATAGCAGATGCTCAATAAATGTTTGTTAATTGGTTATATAGTAAATATTGAATTTAAGTGAGTTGAATCCAAGACAATATGCTAGTGTGCTGTAAGGAATAAATGAGCAAATGGTGGTATATGATTATAATGTAATATTACAAAATGACAGATATGACA